CGGGGGCGGCGCCGCGGGGGGGCCGCGGCTCCCGGCGCCGCCCGGTCCCTTTCAGGCCGACTTGTAGCCCACGAGCTGCATGAGGCCCTTGGTGCTCATGGACTTGGGGCGCTCGAGGGGGAAGCCGAGCGCCCGGCTCCACACGAGCTGCGCCAGCACGCCCAGCGCGCGCGACACCCCGAACAGCACCGTGTAGTAGTTCATCTCCGTCAGGCCGTAGTACTGCGGGGAGGCGACAGCGGGGGCCGGGGTGCACGGGGGGCTCCCGCGCCGCCCCCCCGCACCCCGCGCTTACCTGCAGCAGGACCCCGCTGTGCGCGTCCACGTTGGGCCAGGGGTTCTTGGCCTTGCCCTGCTCCAGCAGCACGTTGGGCACGATCTTGTAGAGCTGCGCCACCAGCTTGAAGAGCGGGTCCGAGGGCAGGTGCTTGAGGGCGAACTCGCGCTGGCAGGTGTAGCGCGGGTCCGTCTTGCGCAGCACCGCGTGCCCGTAGCCCGGCACCACCTGCGGGCGCCCAAGGGGGGGCTCAGCGCGCGGCCCCCGGCACCGGCGCCGCCCGGCCGCGCCGCCCGCTCACCCGGCCCGAGTTGAGCGTGTTCCAGATGAAGTCCCGCAGCTTCTCGTCCGACACCTCCTGGCCCAGCTCCTTCTGCAGGTTCGTCAGCCACAGCAGCACCTCCTGCCAGGCGCAGCGGGGTCAGCGGCGCCGCGGGGGGACACGCGGGGGGACACGCGGGGCGCGCGGGCCCTACCTGGTTGGCGAGGCCGTGCAGCGGCCCGGCCAGCCCGTTCATGGCGGCGGCGAAGGCGAGGTAGGGGTCCGAGAGGGCGCTGCCCACCAGGTGGCTGGTGTGGGCGCTCACGTTGCCGCCCTCGTGGTCACTGCAGGAGGGGGGCATCAGGGCCACCGCGCCCCCCGGCAGCAGCTCCTCCAACACCCCCTGGCACCCCCTGACCCTCCAACACCCCCTGACACCCCCTGACCTTTCTGAGGGTGATGACACCCCAGGGAGCGGCGGCGTCCACACGTGCCCCATGTCCCCGGTGTCCCTCAGGCCACCTCCCCGGGCCACCCCCCTGGCGCAGGGCGGGGGTCCCGGGCGCCCCCCGCGTGCCCCTCACCTGTGGATGGTGAGGTAGAGGCGCAGCAGCTCGATGAACTGCGGGTCGCTGTAGCCCAGCATGTTGCTGAAGTTGTGCGACCAGTCGAGCTCGGGGTCGATGGCCCCGATGCTGCCGCCCTCGCGGTACAGGTTGCGGTAGATCTTCGCGGCGATGCACGGCAGCTTGGCGATGAGGTCCATGGCGTCCTCGTAGACAAACTGCGGGGGCCGGCGCCGC